ACAATTTAGCTTCTCAACTTGTGTAGACTAAATGATAAAACTTCCAACTTTGCAAGAGTTTAGCAGGATAGATTAGTAATTTCATTGTACATATTTTCAAGATATTTTTCTTGCCTTTAAATGCGCAAACTGTTCGTCGAAGGTATAAAGACTCATGTTCCATGAAAAAACTTTCAAATTATGCAAATAGCCAATATACTCGAGGTTCTCGTTTTCAATATATGATCCAAGATAAAGTTCGGTAAGAGTCGACCGCCACGGAGAAGTTTTAATATCGATGAAACTGAAAAGCAATGATATTAACAAATATATCCGCAGCTGAAACAGATTTTAAAATATATTGTCACAAGATCGTTTAAAAAAATGATCGAATTCAATTTACGAATAATCTGTGCTGAAGAGATTTTAGAAGAAAACACACATACTTAATATAAGGTGTCCCGTCATAAATATGAAATAAATTCAGCGGACGTTTGCAAACGGGCAATTTTGGATCATTTTCTGAGATATATTTACTCACATCACCAACAAAAAAATTTTGCACTCTCGGAAAAATGTTTTCATCTTCGAACAACATTTCCAACGTTTTTTTCCATTCCTCTGCATTATCATCATGGATTGAACTCTAAAATAAGCAATATGCAAGTCGTAAAGTAAAATACTGTTATTAAATCATAAATTAAAATCGTTTACGATAATGATGCCCAAACCGTGAATATTAAACATTGAAAAATTAAATAAAGTAGGCAACAAGTAACAATAATAAGAAAAACAATAAATAAAATTTGTTCATATGATGAAATGTTTGACAGTAATGACAATAATTGTATCAGTGAGCATGGTACCCAATTTCGTAATAAGATACTTTATGGAATTTACAATATAAATCATACTCGTTCCAAGCTTTCCGCGTGCAAAGTTTTAACATTGGGGAAGCAATATGATAACTTTTCCAACAATGTAGTATTCATTTCTGTAAAAAATATTCATTTAATTAAAAAATACTTGAATCTCAAAAAAATCAATTCTTATCAAGATCTTATGATTTATATTTCCTTTTTATTCCGCTAAGTATGATGATTTCAAATTTTACCCTCAAAAGAACCAATATCGAGATGGACGACGTTAGGAAAACAAATGTCGAATAATGCATTAACGCTAGCAGACGGTAAGGGCACCGAACAATCAATGCACAGTTTGCGAAGACGTTGCGAAGTCTGAAATATACAGTGATTTATCAATTAGCATAAGTAAAAAATGGAGGAAAAACAATTTCAGAAAGATAATTCTCTCCTCGTTAAATATGACCCATAAACTATAAAAATTTCCTTCATTAATTCTATTAGAAAAAAAATTATTCACCAAAACTTACTCTCTGGAAAAACTTNTTCACACTGCCATATTTCAACGAAAAATCGTTAACTAACACCCGAACTTCAGTGAACAAAGCGGAATGATTTGCTAAATAATTCCAACGGCGAGAAACCAACGAGAAACAATGAATCAAATCGATTGGATGACAATAAGCAAATACTGTCAATAATATATCATTCGGCAAATCGTTTATTGTAGTGACTGCTTCCTTAATGAATTACTTATAGTTGAAAGAATTTTAGATTCGCTTAGAATGGTTCGTGCTACTGAATTATTCTTAATATTATATGATAAAAAATACCTTCTTGACATTGGAATTATCCGTAAATTCATCGACGTCCATTTCATTTCCAATTGAAAACTGGAAAATATTCTTGTTTGTTCTTTTGTTGAAGAATAAAATAAAAAAGATTCGAAAGCAAGTCTGATTTACTGCACCGATACGAAAATCGCGTCACCTGAGATTTCAGACTGGTATCATTGTGTCGAGAAGATGAGTAATAGCTACTATTAGGTCCTGTTAACGGGTAATATATATGCATCCGAAAGGAATAAGTCCTGTAATTGAACAAGAATCAAATAAAAAATATACCATACAATTTGCTGTTTGATGCAATTATTATTTCAAACGAGAAACTCTGAGATAAAACCTTCTGCTTCTGCCTCTTGACCTCTATCCAGCGTTTTCAGAAGCATGAAAAACTTACGCCTTAAAAAACTTATATCTTCCGTCTATCGTATCATATTTGCGCGATACAGGCCAATACCGCCCGGGCGATTCCGTTATAGCATCCATTCCAAAAAATTCAGACTGTAATAATGCGGGCAGAAATTGCTTTATTAATTAGCCTTCATCATCGGAATGAACAAAAGATGATCACTTTAGGAATTAAATTGAATAATTATATTCGAATTA